GAATGAATGAATGAATGAATGAATGAATGAATGAATGAATGAATGAATGAATGAATGAATGAATGAATGAATGAATGAATGAATGAATGAATGAATGAATGAATGAATGAATGAATGAATGAATGATGCATGCATGCATGAATGAATAATTGCAGTTAGTAAACTCCAGTTCCATTTGAACGATCACACCATAAAATTTGATCCATCCATTCAAAAGCAAGAACCACATCACGCGGGCATACGTCCGCGTGATTTGCTGAGTGAGGCACTTTGCCAAAGACACTAAAATACATTTTTATGAAAATGTGTTTTATTTTATTGTTGATTGGTTTTGTTTTGAATTTTCCAGACTGAAGAGAGAATTGGAACGCCGAGGAGGTGGAGGAAAGAAAGTTAAAAGGAGAAGAAGAGGAAAGAATGGTTAGAAGCCAAGTTATATGATTATTATTGTATTTTTGTATTTTACCAAATATACAAGAAGCCTAACTGCGGGTACAAAACACGACGCTAAATTCAGTGTTTCCAGTTTTGTTTTTCACAAGACGAATTTCGCTCGCTAGGTCTTGACTTCGTAAGCACAGCAGTAAACGTATCTCGTTCAAGCTCAAAGTTTCCTCAATTATTTTTCGTTTTTTATTGGGACAAACCGATGCTCGTTTCTACAACCTTCTTCCATTTTCACATGCTCACATACCCACTTACAATCCTCTATTTATCCAACGTTAAAAAGTTAACAAGGAAAACCCTTCGATCTTCCTAGATACGTCGCTAAGGGCCTCTGCTCGCTGGGTAATGTTGATAGAAAAAAGACAATCATTTTGCAAGCTTACGTTGTGCCGCCTGCGAATGTATTTCAACTTTTGAAGCTTGTTCATTCCATAAAAACGTGTCTGTTTCCAGGCTCAGTCGAAGAAGAAGAAATCGAGGAAGAGGGTGAAGAGGGAGTTGAGAGTACAGATGACAAAATCAAAGCTGAACGGGCTAAACTTGAAGAGGACAAAAAAGCCTTGCAGGATAATCATTCCATGATGGCTGAGGTTCGTAACCGCTTTAAACTCACTGACTTTCTTTATGTCTTTAATGGCTGAGACCCTAACACCTGAAAGCTCAACTACTATAAAGATCCAAACGAACAACTATTATGATCCAAAATATTACAAAACTTTGAATGAAGTTGGTGTGAACTGCAGAAATACAAATCTGAATTCAGTATGACCTTCGCGGTTTTGATTGCGTTAGCAATTCAAACAAGTGCAAATAAAACATGAAAAAAAGACACTTTGTTGAGATCACCGCTTGATACATTGAGGAAGAGTAAATGTTTCAGAAAAAAAAAAAAACAGAAAAACATTGAAATATAAACAACAATTAAACGATTACCAATGATTTGACACAAAAGGATTCACCTTCATTGTCTATCGAACAGATTTCTGTCGCTAGACATCCAGCGTTTTGTATCATCAAATGTGAAGTTCTTTATTTTATTGCCGAAGTCAAACGGAAAGCAGACCACGTGATCACGCGCCTTTAGTACCGTTTTATCACGTAATGTCGTTATAGAAATGCTTTGATCTATGTAAGGATCATTATTGGCCCTATCAGAATCACGATGGAGATCATGCTGTTGGTATATGAAAAATATTTCAATTGTCATTGTCATCAAACTTATGATAAGTACTACTTTTCTGTGTTCAGGAGAAGGAAAAGTTCCTGGGTGAAATACAAAAGCGAGAGCAGCAGTTGAAAAAACAGCAAGAACAACAATCAGCTTTAACAGCAAAAATCAAGGTCAGTTAACATCCATGTTAGTTAATTGACCCAGTTACTGTTGCAGTGTCACTGTCTCTCATTGTTTGAGTGAATTACAAGTCGTGCAGCATTCATTACCAGATATGAAACCCCGACCCGGATCCAGTCTACAATCGGTTCCATGCGGCGCAGACTAGGTTGTTTACTGCCTCCCTGTTTTCTCAATGCAACGACGACGGCAGGTTAAACATCGCTGAAGTCGCGCTTTTCCACCCTTCGTTCAATTTTTCCTTCTTGCTCAACCCTTGAAGCACTAAAATGCACATACAAATTCTCCAGGAAGAACTAGATGAGAGAATTTGATAAATGATCAAAACATTTCCTCTTTAATGATCCTTTCAATAATTCTCAGAAGCTTTTCTCTTGACGGTGTATTGCTATCATTAGGAGAAAGTTGATGTTGCATTTTTTTGGAACTTGAAGTGTTAAATTGCCAACATTGAAACCAATGTTCTATGCTGCCTTCTGCTTCTGATAGTGAATTGCAGCTTACTGTGTTCTGGCATTCGCAGAAGGCAAGTTTGGGTTTTAAAGTGACAGTGGCCCTTCGACTTTTCTTTTGTTGGGCATTTGCTGAGCTTCATTTCTGTGGGAAATGTTTCCAGGAAACTGCCGAGGTTGGTGAAGTTATTTGCAAGGAAAAACGGCAGTGGTCGACTCCCTTAAATTTTGGTCTTGTTGTTTGTTTGCTTGTTTGTTTTCCTTTTTTCTCCTGTCTTCTGTTTGACTAAATTGTTTATTGTTTATTGTTTATTGTTTGTTTGCCAAAAATTGTACAAATGAAAAAATAAATCTAATTACTTAAACTCTCATGGCGAGGAAGCCCAAGAGAATCCACCGGGCTTATAAGGAATGGGCTCCCTCAGTTAAATAATTAGAACAAAATATCATCATAATTACACATGGGGAAATCAATGGCAGAGCTACAGTAAATCTTAATAAATAGGTATATTAGATAGTCGTACTAATCATAGTTCTAGGCTAAAAAAAGCGAAATGACAAAAAGAAAACAAAAACAAAAACGAAAGAAAATAAAAGAGCAAAGGAAGAAAAAAAAATACATACATATATATATATATATAAATTACTATTTATGATAAGAGGAATGCTTTCAGTTTACAGCAAAAGGAAGCGGTACTTGTTCCCATTTGAGTGTGTTTAGAATGATCTCTTACCCCCTGCATATGTTAGGTGTCACAAGTGGTACAACGGACGGGGATCCGCACGGGCGGCTCAAGTGTGAACGGGTTAAGTACACAATCATCTAACTTTATTAGTTTCCTTTCACAGATGATGGAAAGCAAATTATTGGTTGGAGGAAAAAGTATTGTAGACACAACCACTGAACAGGAACGAGCTCTTGAAGAACGGAGACGACAAATCGCTGAACAGCATGTAAGTTATTGTTTCAGTTGACCATTTTCGCGATGAATTCATTTTACTTAACATCCTTTGAGGTTTTGCTTTCTCCAGCTAATGAGGACCTGTATTATTTCAACCCCGCTGATAATAACGCCATCGTTATAGGGCCCCTGAATTTCAGGAGTGACTCCTTGGTATCGATTTTTGTGATATGTAGTGATTGCGGATGAACTACACTGATGTGGACTCTCTTCACGATCAGGCATAACATGAGACCTGTAAGGGTCAGGTACCCGCATCCTTCTTTGCTCTAGTGGGATCAATTTAGCGGTATAAAAAGACACGGAACGTTTATTTTCAAACATACAGAACAACTTCATTTTATGGAAATGAATACGAAGTGCGTTCTTGTTATCTAAACTTAGCCTCCTACTCAGTCTTCCTCAGAACGCAATTCTTATAATCTTGAGGCCTGAAAAGTGCAGAACCTAGGCTTCATATTTTGTTTGAAATAACGGAAGTAGAGAATAGAACAATTCTAGGGGCAAACTCAAAATAATTGTTACTCCTACAACAATTGTTTATTTTGTTTCGGTTTGCCTTATGGTTATTCCCATCAGTGGAAAGTCTAAAAAGCTTTGTAATTCCACAACTTGCAGCTAGTTTGGCTCTGTTGAATACATTGCGACTTACGATTTTGTTCTTTCGCTTATGTTGAATAGATACTTTTTTCCCTTCTTTTTAGCGACGTGAAAGAGAGATGCAGCAAAAACTCGAAGAAAAAGACGAAAGTACAGTAGAGATAAAAGAAACGTTCACATCTCTACAGCAAGAGGTGGATAGTAAAACTAAGAAACTGAAAAAGGTAAGGTTGTTTGTTTTGGCGAATCTTTGTTTACATTTTTTTGCCTCATTAACATAATGCTCATCATTATTTGACGATGCTAATAAAATAAAACCTTCGAATATTGAAAGAGCATAACAATTTCAGTTATCGCTGAAAATTTGAGCCTGATGCACCAAATGGTTTCGCAGAAATTCTCTTTTAAATACTCCAAATTTTACAAAGTATGTATGGCTCATTAACATTTTTGCCACCCATCAATCTCGCAGTTTTCGATGGCTGATTTAGTGATATTTCCTTCAACATTGCTTGCAAAGAACTGAAAAGTGCACAACTTACTCAAGTTAATCAGCTCATTCAACTTTTAAATTTAGATCGTATATACGACCACGGCTTCTATGAGTTAAGTCGTATGCTAATGAGGAAAAATGTAAACAGTGACGTCAGCAAAGATTTGCCTATTGAAAAATATCTCGATGACTTTGTCATAAGACTGGACTGTTTTGATCCCACCCTTAATATCCACTGTGTGAGGAATCCATTTTTTCCTGTAGCTGTTTGGAAAATTGCAAACTATTCGGGCGGAGATTGCTGACCAGCAAGAAGCGCATATTCGGGAACGACAGGAGTTAGAGCAAGCACAAGAGGATCTCACGCGGGAACTGAAACTAAAGTAAGTCGGGAAAATGTGTGATACTGAGAAATGATGTTTATTGTCATTAAGTTACACAGACGAACCAGGAAAAAGAAATTCGAGTTCTCTCAACAAAAGTGGACTCAACCACGGAGCTGCATGAGGCACGTTGGAGCTAGCATTAACTTATCATTGAACAAAGGAGACTGACTTAGAGGAACCGCTTTGGTAAATGAAAACAGGATCATTTTAACATGGATTTGCGATTATCAATTTTCAAGCTGGCACAGAATATCAACTATCCAGCCTCGGCTAAGAAAACTTACCCAAGGCTTTGATTATTCCGAATATGACAAAAGCCTTAATGATTTAAAGTTAGAAATATAATAACGGCAAATGCACTATCGCACGGAACACAGTTGAATGTTTATCTCCAAAGAAAGAATAGAAATTGCTCTTGGACTGAATCAATTATCCTGCACTCAAGCTTTCTCTTTTGAGTGGCGAGGGGAGCAATTTGCGAGAGAGCGCTCAAGTGAGTGGCGCTCCGCTCGCGTCTTCTACCACGTGCCGCTCGCGGATAGCTCACAATCACACATTGTGCGCAACCTATAGATTGATCACTTTAATACCTGTTAGCATACTAGTGTCTAAGAACTTGTAGAGAGCTCTAGTTTCCAGAATTAACTGTAGGCTCTTAGCCAATAAGAAGGCAGATGGTGAGTACAATGTATAACAACAAATGCGCTGGATTTTCTTTTTCTTTTTCTTAGGACGCTAATAATAGAAAACTTTATTCCACCTGACGAAAAAGTGAAACTAACAAACAGAGCGACTTTCGATGAAGAAAACGAAGAATGGAAATTGAAACCTTCCTCTCAAAATTCCAGGTAAGTTTTTTTCTGATGTGTATAGGCTGTTACTAGTACGACTGGAACGGCGGTGAAAACGTCACTTAAATGTGAATTTGCGCTGTTTCAAACTTCATCGCTCATTCCATTTCATTCAATTTGTCAAATGTTGGCGAATTTTTCTGGAGTTGAATACAAAAGGACTGTTTCTAAGTTTAGAAAAAAAAAACAAAACGTTCACTTCGCATACGTGCAACGACGGCTGAGAAATGTAAAAAGAAAGCGTGATGCACGTGGAAAGTTGTTTTGCTAATCCCGACTTAAATTTTTTTCTTCTTACCGTTCTCATTGACATCACATTTATGGTACGAGGTCACAAACAAAGTTCATCGTTAAGCACAGTAACTGAGTTAGTGACTCACTAACTCAGTTACTGTGCTTAACGATGAACTTTGTTTGTGACCTCGTACCATAAATGTGATGTCATCTGTTTGTCGAGGAGCAGGATTTGGCAAAAGCGGTTGGAAAAGGGATGCCGGCGAAAGTATGGGGATGTATAGTCAAAATATGAGTAAAATTTTAAAATTATTTCAATAATGTTGTGGTAATGTAAAAGGCCACAGGTTATAGGGAATTTGGGTTCCGCCTGTTTCACCATCATCATTTCAACCACTTATCATCTTAAGTTCCATGTAATAGTTATTATTATGGCCATTTAATCTATTTTCATTTTTTGGAATCACACGTTCATGCAAATACAGCGTGTTGTTACAATGTAACTACTTGGTGAGTGTGTTAGTTGAGTACACTTGGCGGCCTTTTCTCGGACAACACCCCACTGAAATCTTATGTTACATTACACAGTCAGCAAGCTATGGCCAAACGACCCGTGTCAGCCGTCGGCAACAGACGACCTATCACCGAGTACGCCAGGATGGCCGCTGCTATGGGAGGTCACATGAGATACAAGGTATAACAGCTTTCAGTGGAATTCGTTAACTTTGTTGTAGATGTCCCTTCTATAATTTTCGGATCTTTCACTCGGTGCAGCTCTACTCTTGTCGTCATTTACAGCTTTTACACGTGTAATTTACAAGTGTAGCTATTGTTTTTAGACTCTAAAACAATGCTACAATTGTAAATTACATTTGTTAAAGTTTTATTAAATTGACCCCAGGGCCGCGCAGGTCAGCTATGAAAAGGGAGTTCAAGCAGCGACGTTTTAGAGCGACGCACGTCAACCGGAAGTGAGCCTTTCTCTCTTTTAATAAGCCTTGACGCTATCAAATTTGTATTAAAAACGTCACTGCTTAAACTCCTTATTGGCCAATTTTTTTCCTTGTCCCCAGTAGCAGTCGCACCGCAAAATCCGATTTGTTTGACTACAAAGGCCCGTATCTCGTCCGCAAAGACATCTTTCGACTAATCATGATATTTTTCTCCTGTAAAGGCTGAGAATATTATCATGATAGAGTTGGATATGCCGAACAGGACGACCAGGGATTATGAAGGGCCTGCTGTGGCACCGAAAGTCCAGGCTGCTCTTGATGCCGCTCTGCAGGACGAAGAGGATCTCACACTGGATGCTGAGTGAGTGTTTACACAGTGTCAAGTAATATGCTGCATGATCTTTCGCCCCCGTTCGCATTCACAACACATGCTTAAATACACCAGCTTTAGCAAGAATGAAAATCAGTTAGGAAAGCGTTAAGCTAGACTTCCACTAGTTCAAGCTTATTTCCTTGCCAAAGCCATACGTAGTTGTGGAAAAATTAGGAATATGAGAATTTCATTTCAGTCGTGCTATAGTCGAACTTCACCGCCCTTTAAGACACCTCCAGAATACGAACACCTCTTCAAATCAGACACAGACAGTACTCTCGTTCTCCAAGATGTCAAACTACACACTGTCCTAATCCTGTATTACAGACAACTTTGTAGCGCCGACACTCCGTAATGTGTCCTTTCTGAGGAGGTATCACTAAACTTGTTAACCAATACCGCATGTCTATCTTTTTTAGTAAATGCCACCTCCACGCTGTTAAAATTGTATTACACGTCCCTCTCTAATAAACGTCCCGTCTAATAAACGCCCCCTATGAGAATTACTCAAAACTAATTGGGATTAGCAAAAAAGAAGCATAATCATTCAATTCTTTCAGTTTCTTGCTTGATTAACAAGGCTCTGGCGGCGTATTTTATCTTGCTCAATGTTAATTTCAAAGTAAGGATAGAATAACGATTGCCACACAATAACCCTGAGCCGCGAGGATTTTGACATCGATATTAAGTTGTGATCTGAAAGAGCGATATGGATCCCTAGAAGGCCTAAACGTATCGACTGATGGAGTGGATGTTCCGCTGTTTTTAAACTCTCTTGAAATTTTTGCCGAAAGCATATTAGTTTTGTTGAGGTTGTTCGAGTAATGAGAATAGACGCCCCGGGCGTTTATTAGGCCATTTACTGTACAGAGTGTAGGCAGAGTATCATAGAGTTTTGGAATTATTTTCTTAGGGTTTTTCTGGTCTCCTAAGTTTTTCTCGAAGGTATGGTAATTCCTTTTTACGTACTTTCCTTTTTCAGTGTTCTTCTCAGTAAAACGAAAGTGAAATCAAAGAGACGAGATAGACCTGACCGAACATCTGAGCGTCCGAAAACGGGGTAAGCATAGAAATGTCACGTCAAGGGCAGTGAAAAGCCAATCAATATTATCCGTTTGATGAGTAGGTATAAAGATCGCTTATTTACCAGTGCTTGGTTTTCACACGTTTCTTGACTTTCATGATAAAAGCCTTTTATAGAGCCCCCCTCACTGATCTCCCGGATTTGAAGTACAGTATTCCACATTGAAAATTTGTTTGCCCAGTACGGAACACAAGGATTAGGCCACACTGGGAAAGGAAGAACAATTTTTTCAAACTAGGTTATTTACTATAGATTCTGGTAATAGTACGAAATAGTGTATCAAGAGATTAGGTATTTAGTGAGAAAGTTGAAAATTTTGTTGCCGTTGTTGTTGTTGTTGTTGTTTTTCTTTTTAGGTATTGGTGACCCTCCGGCTTTTCCTTTACTACATGTAATACCATGCATGTATTTACAATACATGTGTAGATTTTCTATTTAAGCCCCTATCCTTTATTAGTAAAATCCAACTAGTGGTCTATTATCAATGCTACGTTCTGATTGGTTGAGCTACTACTAGGCTATATGTTATAGCCCACTAGTAGCGAAAAGCGCCAGTTTTGAAAACCAAAACAATGGCGGCTGAATCGCGTTTTGCTAAGTTGTTTTGTCTCGATATTTTTGACCAACTAGTTGGATTTTACTAAAACAATTTTTGAGTAGCGAAAAGCGCCAGTTTTGAAAACCAAAACAATGGCGGCTGAATCGCGTTTTGCTAAGTTGTTTTGTCTCGATATTTTTTACCAACTAGTTGGATTTCACTAAAACAATTTTTTCTCTCGCCCTCATGGCCTCTGAGTCAATAGCCCATTCGGCCTTCGGCCTCATGGGTTATTGACTCAGAGCCCATTCGTGCTCGAGGAATAATTGTTTATGTTCCCCCTCTTAAATCATAATCACGGCAGAGATGGTGAGGTACATCGTGTACAAGAGGTATAACTAAATCGAACTGTTACTTCCCCCTTTAAAATTATCAGTTTTACCTATTAATGTTTGGAATCAGTGCTGAATTTTTCGATTATTTATCTCTGCCAGTGCATCATTCATCTTCAGTGTTATCTTAGCTTTAATAAGCCCTTTTGGAACACGACGTGGAGAAATAATAACCTTATCGTCAGAAAATCCCTGTTTGTTGTGTAAACTATGACATGAGTTAAATGTCTTAACTCTACGTTCTTGTCAGGCGAAAGAGTCGAGGCCCTCAGTCATCAGGTCAGCAGCAAGGGGCATCAGAGTCTGCTCAGTATCCAACTGCCAGAGGTCTTCTGGCGCAGCAAAAGAGAGTGTTACCACAATAATAGATGTGGATACTAAATGATAGATTCAACTTTACTGAAATAATATTCTCTGTAAAATGTATAATTGTACATAACCTTACTTGCAGAGTTTTTAATTTGGTTTTATTTTGAAATCAATCTTGTCTCTCTTCATTTTGTAAAATCTTGAGCTTAATTTAAAAAGATTATTTCCTCCTCTGTGTTGATGTTGAGAGGTACATCAGATAGTTTCACTGCTGACGCGTATGACCATGTCGGGCTAGCCTGTTCCAAGCAATTAGATTGTGGGGACGCCGCGCAAAGAGATGTGACTAGGAAAAACAGCAAGGGGTGTGGTGTGCCCCGCTCCTCCACTATATGAATGCCTGACTTGCAGTAATCGTGATGAAGATTGAACGAACGCGCATTCACTTTTTCAGCGACGTTTTCGCTACCGTTGCCGTCCTCGGATCTTGAGGTCCCTAATGACTGTCGTATGGCGCGAAAAGCTTTCCCTTGCTGTGTAGATATAGCAGGAGGTTGTCCGTGTGCGTTGCTTTCCTAACTATGTATGTCCGGCAAGTGTGACAAATTGAAAGTATGATATAATGCCATGAATATTTATTTGAAACCTAAAAAGAACATTAAAGAGTACTGATCAAGTTTAAACTGCGTATGTGAGGTTTACTGTGAAGTGGGCCAATCTAAATTTCATTTCCTTGTGTTGTGGAATCTTACTTTTAAAATCGTTCAATCCCTAGAGGATATTGGATAAAAAAATTAGCTCTTTCTTGTTTGAGGTCACAAGCTTTATTTTCCCTTCTTATCATTCACTGCAGCTTAGAGATTAGAAGCAGAAACCAGGATCTCTTTCCTCTACGAAGAGCTTGAACCCTTGCAGTGCATCTGGGTCAAAAAACTGCCATTCTCCTTTCTCCAACACATTTAAATTGTTCGCCTCTCCTGAAAATATTTTCGTAAAACACCATTTGAAGTTAGGAAAGCCGTTTTCTGGTCATTATTTGACCAAAAAGAACCAAAACTGCCCCATACATTGTTTACAAGTCGACCTAATAGCAGTAAAAAGCTGTTATTCCACGTGAGATAGAACTTTGCTTGAATACGATCCAGTCATCGTTTTTAAAAGGCGAATCTGAGGGGATCTGGGGAAGACACCGGGAGCAGGGGTGTGAGTCATAATCATTAAAAACAGACAAGTGTGGACGAGGCCACCGTTGTGCCCAAGGCAACGAGAATCCCTTTTTTGCCGTCACTGCGAGCCTGCGAAGAATCGGCGAACCCGTTCGGATCGCTTCGCTTGCCGAATTTCTCCACGCTCCACATTAGCCTGTTCCAGGCGTTCAGATAGTAGAACGCGGCCGAAAAGTTGACGAGGAAAACAATCGAGGGCAAACTACTCTCGTTTTTTCCCCTCGTTTTCGCGTCATCAGTATGGAATTTCTGCACTCGTTTCTCAGACGTCATTTCGCGGGGAAACCAGTGATAATATCGTGAAATGTCGCCTGTTTTCTCAGGCTAAAAAACGCGATTAATTTTGAAAGAATGCAAATCACGTGAGAGTTTCAGTTTTTTACAACTTAATGGCCTTTGGACATACCCATTACCAACAAACACATAACTAATCTGTTTTATCAGTCAATTTTTATCTCACTGTGATCTGGCTAATTGCTGTCGGTAAAGCAATAGGGTCTAAAACAGTTTTTGGTTTTACGCCACTTCAGCTAACTTCTGGCTAAATATTTATGACAAAAAAAGAGGAGATGTATACCGGAAAAATTCTAGTTTTAGCACGTTTTGTTTCTGTATTTTATACACTCAAACCAACAAGCTGTTAGCTCTGAATTTTAATGATGTATTTCATGAAATAACAATGTTTTAATTTATTTCTTAAATGGTCATTTTTTTGTCATATTCATCAAGTGATTCGTCATAATTGTTTTACCCTGGGTACAAGAGGTATTTTTTGTTCCGTAATTCTTAAGAGTTCGCGGCGAGTTTTTTTCAAACCGTCCGGACAGTTTTTGTTTTTATTATCCTGGGTATTTTGAGAACGAACGTGGAAATCAGGGTATTATATACTGTTCTTGTTGAAACGTTGAAAATTAACATGCTGAAACTAAATTAGTAAAATATTAGACTTTAAATAAACGAAATTAAGAAATAAAAGCTTGACAAAAATTGTATTACTTATTTTCAAAAAAATAATTACATAAATTTGTTTCTTAAATGACCATTTCTTTGTCACATTCGTCATNGTTTTGTTTCTGTATTTTATACACTCAAACCAACAAGCTGTTAGCTCTGAATTTTAATGATGTATTTCATGAAATAACAATGTTTTAATTTATTTCTTAAATGGTCATTTTTTTGTCATATTCATCAAGTGATTCGTCATAATTGTTTTACCCTGGGTACAAGAGGTATTTTTTGTTCCGTAATTCTTAAGAGTTCGCGGCGAGTTTTTTTCAAACCGTCCGGACAGTTTTTGTTTTTATTATCCTGGGTATTTTGAGAACGAACGTGGAAATCAGGGTATTATATACTGTTCTTGTTGAAACGTTGAAAATTAACATGCTGAAACTAAATTAGTAAAATATTAGACTTTAAATAAACGAAATTAAGAAATAAAAGCTTGACAAAAATTGTATTACTTATTTTCAAAAAAATAATTACATAAATTTGTTTCTTAAATGACCATTTCTTTGTCACATTCGTCATTGTTCTTGTCCAAGCGTTGAAGAACTTCATCTGGTTGACCATCTCTTAGCTCTTCCCTTTTGCTCTTGCTTGGCTGAAACAGCATTCCAGGAAAGGTTCCTTTTCTCTTAAAGTATCGAGCAGCTACCAAGATTGACAAAAACACCACAATCATCAAGACACTGATTACAAAAGCACAGATCATTAATGAGCATGGTCCCACAGTGTCCCCTATTGTGCTACCCACAGATAGTGGAATCAACATTGCACCGGTGCTTGATGTGACTAGAAAAAGAGATGCTGTCCTTCCTGATACAGTCACAAAATTCTCTGCCCAGCTTATGCCAGCTGGGAAGACTGAAGATGTTGAGATGCCAAAAATAACTGTTCCCAACCACAATTTTGTTGAGTCTGCAGCACTGCAATCGCCATCTTTGATCTGTGAAATTAGTACAGCCGATCCCAACAGACAGCCAGCCAAATCTAAACACAGCATCTTGGATGGTGGAAGGTATTTTGACATGGGTACTGCTGCTAGCCGTGCCAACGCAAAGCTTCCCCAGAGGCCAGAATTTAAAAGTGCTGCCCCATCCTTGCTCATCTTTAAACTACTTGTGCTACCAAACGCGAAAATATATCCTCCATAGGCTTCTTCTAAACCCACATAAATCAGAAGGAACACAGAGAAGAGTGACAAAAAGGTGACTCTGTACATCAAGCTACCCTGTTTGGTCTTTGGAGCATCCTCATGCTTGGTATCCTTGTCCTGTAAGCTGCATGATTTGATGAAAACAAATACTAAGAATCCAATACCTGTGATTGCAAGAGGAAAAGCACAGATCCAGAAGGCCCATGTAACAGGAAAAGTATTTCCACTGGAATTGCTAAAGCACAAGTTATTTGAACTGTCTCCTATGCTATTATTACTGGCACATCGACTGCTGTTGGTATTGACACAGTTATTTGTAGGGACAATGTTCTCTTGAAGGAATGGTTTAGCTGTGAGTGGAGCTATGAAACAACCAAGTGCAAACAAAAAGTGAAGAGCTTGCATGTATGGTGGTGATTTCTCTCCCCAAACATTTAGCAAAAGTACATTTCCACCTGCAATAAAAAAAAGAAAAATGATGTAGTATATTGAGAACATAAATAGTACAGTACAGAACAAGCATGGAACCATTGTCAACAGCTATTTGTTTCCAGTTAGACAAAATACAAGCAGCTTTCAACCACTTTTTTGGAGCAGCATGCAAACACCCAATTGTGCAGACCCTAATGTATGATACATTGATTATGCAATGTATATATTGAAGTTATGAAATGAATATATGAAAATTATATATGTGAACTGTGGAGTGAAGAATTATGTGAAGGATATCGTTTAAGATTATCGCAGTTATATACACCACTTTTGCAGTTGCAAAAAGAAAGCCTTCAGGCTTTCTTCTGCAATGATCTTCCTTCAGAAGACTCATCTGAATCAACATTTAATTATCAAAGGTTTGAAAGCCCCCAGTGCACCTACTCAGTAATACATTAGTCAGTTGTACAAACATCTATTTTTTAGCTGTGATAACCAGCAACTTGAGCCACCAGCTACTAGCAAGGGAAAATTAAATTCTACCAAGTCACCACCTTTATCCTCAGGAGACCAGAGCAGACAGGATGGCTAAGTAGTCAGCGTGATGGAAAAAATAATCCAAATAGAGCAAAACAGGGTTATAAACACCCCAACTGGCAGGAGGTAACCATTTGCAGGTTATTATAAGTGTGGCCGAGAATTTGAACTCAGGACAACCAAGAACAAATCCAGCATTGGAGTGGCCAGAATGAGACTCAAATCCAGGAGCGCTGGATCTTGCGAGTCTGCCTGGGCCACTGACCAGTATTTTACTGAACATAGCACTGGTTAGTACTGTACAAAATGGTTTTTACTTACGAGTCTGTGTACAAAAAAGTGAGTGTGGCTTTCGAATTAAAAGCTCAGTACTGACCAGTAATTTACTGTTAATATATAGTACTTTATATCATGCTGCACAAGTTGATTTTTGAGTCTGTGGATTAAAAATCTGATCTTGTCACCATTTCAATGAAAGCTATAAAAAACTTAGATGTGCTAGCTTTCCTCTTGTGGTCTTCTTTGCCTAGAATGTTTCATTAGGTTACCACACTGAGAGTGAACTACATATGTACGGGGTTACTGTAAGTTTAAACAGACTCTTGAAACATATAACCTAATAAAATTGATGGTAATTAATACAGCAAATCCCAGGGGGGGGGTACTCGGGATTTCAAGTGACGGGGATGATGGAAGGATTTTTTTGGGTTTGAAATTTTCGATTCCGGGATTTTTTGGGGGCGAAAATTTGGTTTGGGTAGCTTGATTTGAGTAGGGATTTTTTGGGGGTATTAAAAAGAATCAGATGAGGGAAAGGATATATTCAGAAGGTATGATGAATAAACAAACGCGAGTGTTCAATTTCCAATGTTTTTCTTTGTGTTACAGCATTACCCCTTTCTGGAACTTTTAAGGGCCACAAAATCGGCATGGGATTTTTTTGGGGTCAATTTTTGGTCCAGGGATTTTTTTGGGTTTTGCTGGAAGCCCTAGGGGTTTTTTTGGGTCTTGACTTTTGGTTCCATTCGATCATCCCTTGAAATCCCGAGTACCCCCCCTTGGCAGCAAATAAAGTGAGCTCAAGTTTTGCTTACATGTATCAATCGCTCCAAGGCCTATTCCCAACAGTGCGTATACGATAAGTAAACCAACCAGAGATGTAGCATATGGCAAAACTATCATCATGGCAGTGCTCCAAACACAGGAAAGTGACAAGACTCCATGGCCATTATACTTATCATACAACCAGCCGCCAATTATGCTTCCCACAAGGTAACCAACTGAGCGTGACATAAACACATATGACATATTCTCTAGTTTGGTACTTGTGTGGCAGGCCAATTCTATTAGGGTAGGTCCATAGATGGCCACACATTCACCCTGTAAATAAATAAATTAAAACAAATAAGATGCAGAGCTTTAAATATCACCTTAAATAACAGCTAAAGATCTTATCAAACTTGGGAGATGTTTATTTTAGACTTTGCTAAAAAATTCAAGTGAGTGCAGCAAAGAGTTCAAGACTCTGAGACAGGATTGAAGGAAAATAGGAAAATATGAGACTTCAAGACTCATAACAATTGCTTTGGAGACTGGATCAAAATTTTCCGAGACTCATAATTTTCAAGATTAACCATTGCAAAATAAGATGTTCAATGAAGAGGCTTCTCAATTTAATAATCAAAAGAATTTTATCCTTAATTGACACATTAGCTTCAAGTTTGAATTTCTAAATCTCCTTTGGTGGAACGATCTTATGCAATAATTTTTCATTTCTTTCAACACAATCTTGGCCAGCTGCCTTAAACTTTGCACCAGACGTAATTTTTAACATCCAGAGACAAGTAAAGAAGTTGACAGGACTGTTATTCAAAATAGAGACCCAGGAGCAGTTAGTCGAGTCGGTAGATATAAGGGATTTAACTACGTAAACTCAACCCAACTGACTACCCCAAAGTCTTTGATGGTTTTTTGATGACATTATGTCTGTAACTTATATTAATCAACAACAACAACAAAAACAACAATGGTAGGATTGGGGCTGGGCTGAAGCTGTTTGTGCTTTTGTAGTTGTGCATTCCGTTGTTGTAGGGTGACTAATTCGGCTTTCAGGCGGGCCACCTCTGTCTCGCGTTCCAGAGCGTCATTCTCGGCTCCTACCCGTGCAATCTCAGCGGTTAGTGCAACTACGTCTTCATTTGGGGCACTGGTATTGGTCTGAGTCCCCGAAAAGGGAGTACTGCAGGGCTGAACTTGGTTGGTAGAGGGCAAAACGGGAGCCGTCTGTGGCTGGTACTAAAACCTGTCCTGAAATTCATCTTGGTCATCATCAACATGTTGCCCCTCGTGCATTCCTGGGTAATCACGAGGAATACGATCTCGCAAGTGATAAGACATCGTAAAGGCTAAGACGGAAGGAAAGCTAAAGCTAAAACTAAAACTAGCCTCCCCGCAAATGTCCCTAGGGGTTCGTTTGTCACGCATTCATTTCTCCCTAAGCAATGCTGACAGTAGACGCCTTTACTAGAGTGTAACTTGAGCTAACAAACACGTGAGCGAAAGGGCACCAATAGCGATCGGGAAATTAACTGTTTTGAAAGGCCTTCTGAAACAAAACTATTACCATTATTTTTGATTTTAATGAACGGGTGTTACCGATTAAAATAACAATAAACAGCTAAATTTAAGGAAATGAAGATATAATGGAATGGTATAATTAATTATTATTATTATGTTTCTTTCGTCTTTCAAGTGATTGCAAAACGGTTGACCTGTTAGCCAAGCCTGCTGATATGTGAATCAGCATTGTTGAATCGAAAACAGACTCTATTGTGTGTCCTGATCCCGACATTGGTAGGGTTTTCGAGCTAGTTTTTCCCCATTTAATTGTAAAGACATACACCAAAGTTCACCCAACTTTTGCTAGCTAATTTTTATATTTGGTTGTTAAAGAGAGGTAGATAATTTCCCCTTCGCTACTAAGCTACATAGGCAAACATGTACAGCCACTGGCAAATTACAGTCCCCTTCAGTTTGATGGAATTATTAAGTTCTTGCTAAAAGGAAATTGTTTCCTACAAGCAGAGGTTTCTATCTGGCATGGCTTTAAGCATTTGCGAAGTTGTTCGCATGGCTTGTCTCGCGTAGTTGGTTTATTTAAATACTAAAAGGCATGCCAAACAGAAAACTGACTGGTTGAGAAAAATTATTGTCACGTAAAACACCTGTAGAGTGCCGCAGGATCTAAAAGATCTACAAGATCAACAGGATCTACTATACTTCCTACAGGGCAATTCCATTTCATATAGGCTTACAACCCCCTCCCGCCTCCCATTAATGAAGTACGTGAAATAACAATGTTTTAATTTATTTCTTAAATGGTCATTTTTTTGTCATATTCATCAAGTGATTCGTCATAATTGTTTTACCCTGGGTACAAGAGGTATTTTTTGTTCCGTAATTCTTAAGAGTTCGCGGCCAGTTTTTTTCAAACCGTCCGGACAGTTTTTGTTTTTATTATCCTGGATATTTTGAGAACGAACGTGGAAATCAGGGTATTATATATTGTTCTTGTTGAAACGTTGAAAATTAACATGCTGAAACTAAATTAGTAAAATAAAAGAAATTAAGAAATAAAAGCTTGAAAAAATTTGTATTACTTATTTTCAAAAAAATAACTATATAAATTTGTTTCCTAAATGGCCATTTCTTTGTCACATTCATCATTGTTCTTGTCCAAGCGTTGAAGAACTTGTACTTCATCTGGTTGACCATCCCTTAGCTCTTCCCTTTTGCTCTTGCCTGGCTGAAACAGCATTCCAGCAAAGCTTCCTTTTCTCTTAAAGTATCGAGCAGCTGCCAAGATTGCCAAAAACACCACAGTCATCAAGACACTGATTACTAAAGCACAGATCATTAATGAGCATGGTCCCACAGTGTCCCCTATTGTGCTACCCACAGATAGTGGAATCAACATTCCACCGGTGCTTGATGTGACTAGAAAAAGAGATGCTGTCCTTCCTGATACAGTCACAAAATTCTCTGCCCAGCTTATGCCAGCTGGGAAGACTGAGGATGTTGAGATGCCAAAAATAACTGTTCCCACCCACAATTTTGTTGAGTCTGCAGCACTGCAATCGCCATCTTTGATCTGTGAAATTAGTACAGCCGATCCCAACAGACAGCCAGCCAAATCTAAACACAGCATCTTGGATGGTGGAAGGTATTTTGACATGAGTACTGCTGCTAGCCGTGCCAACGCAAAGCTTCCCCAGAGGCCAGAATTTAAAAGGGGCTGCCCCATCCTTGCTCATCTTTAAACTACTTGTGCTACCAAATACGAAAATATATCCTCCATAGGCTTCTTCTAAACCCGCATAAATCAAAAGAAACACAGAGAAAAGGGACAAAAAGGTGACTCTGTACATCAAGCTACCCTGTTTGGTCTTTGGAGCATCCTCATGCTTGGTATCCTTGTCCTGTAAGCTGCATGATTTGATGAAAACAAATACTAAGAATCCAATACCAGTGATTGCAAGAGGAAAAGCACAGATCCAGAAGGCCCATGTAACAGGAAAAGTATTTCCACTGGAATTGCTAAAGCACAAGTTATTTGAACTGTGTCCTATGCTATTATTACTGGCACATTGACTGCTGTTGGTATTGACACAGTTATTTGTAGGGACAATGTTCTCTTGAAGGAATGGTTTAGCTGTGAGTGGAGCTATGAAACAACCAAGTGCAAACAAAAAGTGAAGAGCTTGCATGTACGGTGGTGATTTCTCTCCCCAAACATTTAGCAAAAGTACATTTCCACCTGCAATAAAAAAAAGAAAAATGATGTAGTATATTGAGAACATAAATAGTACAGTACAGAACAAGCATGGAACCATTGTCGACAGCTATTTGTTTCCAGTTAGACAAAATACAAGCAGCTTTCAACCACTTTTTTGGAGCAGCATGCAAACACCCAATTGTGCAAACACCCAATTGTGTATGATACATTGATTATGCAATGTATATCTTGAAGTTATGAAATGAATATATGAAAATTATATATGTGAACTGTGGAGTGAAGAACTATGTGAAGGATATCGTTTAAGATCATCGCAGTTATATACGCAACTTTTGCAGTTGCGAAAAGAAAGCCTTCAGGCTTTCTTTTGCAATGATCTTCCTTCACATAATGTATATCTGACAGATTTGGGATCTCATCTGAATCATCATTTAATTATCAAAGGTTTGAAAGCCCCCAGTGCACGTACTCAGTAATACATTAGTCAGTAGTACAAACATCTATTTTTTAGCTGTGATAACCAGCAACTTGAGCCACCAGCTACTAGTAAGGGAAAATTAAATTCTACCAAGTCACCACCTTTATCCTCAGGAGACCAGAGCAGACAGAATGGCTAAGTAGTCAGCGTGATGGAAAAAATAATCCAAATAGAACAAAACAGGATTATAAAAACCCCAACTGGCAGGAGGTAACCATTTGCAGGTTATTATAAGTGTGGCCGAGAATTTGAACTCAGGACAACCAAGAACAAATCCAGCATTGGAGTGGCCAGAATGAGACTCAAATCCAGGAGCGCTGGATCNCTGTAACTTATATTAATCAACAACAACAACAAAAACAACAATGGTAGGATTGGGGCTGGGCTGAAGCTGTTTGTGCTTTTGTAGTTGTGCATTCCGTTGTTGTAGGGTGACTAATTCGGCTTTCAGGCGGGCCACCTCTGTCTCGCGTTCCAGAGCGTCATTCTCGGCTCCTACCCGTGCAATCTCAGCGGTTAGTGCAACTACGTCTTCATTTGGGGCACTGGTATTGGTCTGAGTCCCCGAAAAGGGAGTACTGCAGGGCTGAACTTGGTTGGTAGAGGGCAAAACGGGAGCCGTCTGTGGCTGGTACTAAAACCTGTCCTGAAATTCATCTTGGTCATCATCAACATGTTGCCCCTCGTGCATTCCTGGGTAATCACGAGGAATACGATCTCGCAAGTGATAAGACATCGTAAAGGCTAAGACGGAAGGAAAGCTAAAGCTAAAACTAAAACTAGCCTCCCCGCAAATGTCCCTAGGGGTTCGTTTGTCACGCATTCATTTCTCCCTAAGCAATGCTGACAGTAGACGCCTTTACTAGAGTGTAACTTGAGCTAACAAACACGTGAGCGAAAGGGCACCAATAGCGATCGGGAAATTAACTGTTTTGAAAGGCCTTCTGAAACAAAACTATTACCATTATTTTTGATTTTAATGAACGGGTGTTACCGATTAAAATAACAATAAACAGCTAAATTTAAGGAAATGAAGATATAATGGAATGGTATAATTAATTATTATTATTATGTTTCTTTCGTCTTTCAAGTGATTGCAAAACGGTTGACCTGTTAGCCAAGCCTGCTGATATGTGAATCAGCATTGTTGAATCGAAAACAGACTCTATTGTGTGTCCTGATCCCGACATTGGTAGGGTTTTCGAGCTAGTTTTTCCCCATTTAATTGTAAAGACATACACCAAAGTTCACCCAACTTTTGCTAGCTAATTTTTATATTTGGTTGTTAAAGAGAGGTAGATAATTTCCCCTTCGCTACTAAGCTACATAGGCAAACATGTACAGCCACTGGCAAATTACAGTCCCCTTCAGTTTGATGGAATTATTAAGTTCTTGCTAAAAGGAAATTGTTTCCTACAAGCAGAGGTTTCTATCTGGCATGGCTTTAAGCATTTGCGAAGTTGTTCGCATGGCTTGTCTCGCGTAGTTGGTTTATTTAAATACTAAAAGGCATGCCAAACAGAAAACTGACTGGTTGAGAAAAATTATTGTCACGTAAAACACCTGTAGAGTGCCGCAGGATCTAAAAGATCTACAAGATCAACAGGATCTACTATACTTCCTACAGGGCAATTCCATTTCATATAGGCTTACAACCCCCTCCCGCCTCCCATTAATGAAGTACGGGGAGGTGGGGGGTGGTAGCCCCCACGCAGGCGTTTTGAGGGGAGCTCGTTTTTCATTCCTCCCTTAAAAACGCCTGCGTGGGAAGCTAGGGGGGTGGGGGATGGGTTGTATATTAAATGAAATAGCCCACAGGACATTCACACTCCTGTTGGTCTCTAATGTTGCTAAATTTGGGGACACGCACAATTTCGGAACATACTTTCAGAGGAGACAATCAATAACTCACCAAGCCAAAAAAACTAACAAAGAGGCAAACTGTCCTCGCTGCCCGCACTGATGAAGCAGAATACCTTGCTGACCTTGTTGTTGCCCTTGGTACATCTTCGTTAGTAAAAGAGATGGCAGCTGAACCATCTGTATTTCTTGAGAGCTGCGCATCATTTGCTTTCGAATTTTCGATACACTCATCTAATTCATTACTTTTGTCGTCCCAAGTGTTAACCATCTCCGCCTTAATAATTTCATCCGTAGCTTGGTCCGCAGCTAACGATCACAGAAAGATTCTGAGTTACCGGGAAGACGTGGCAAGATAAAAAGCGTGCCCCTCGCGAGTACCCTAAAGTGTGGTATTGAAAAGGGGGAAATTCGTCAAAGGAAAAAGGAGATAGGTCCTCCTATAACTATACATAAGTATTTCTCTAAATCAAATACTTTCTCATTTATTATGACAAGTACACTTCTATTAGTTTGTAGTTTGACCTCTTCGTTTATTTCCGACGATTTTCGTCTTGACAGGGAATCCAAAGGTTTTCAGCACACTCACGTGCCCAAGTTAAACCACTGGTTACCCAAGCTACTTGGAAGCCGTCACATTGCGTAACAATTTTTTCTGACAAATGTAAGAGTTTGCTTGGGAAATGTAGCGATCGTACGAAACAGTTCGAAATATATGTGAAAGGAATTTAATGAAGAACGACTTACTTCGTCTATACTTATGTTTCCGTGGCGTTTTGGGCAGTTTCAGAGTGATTTTAGCGAGTTTCAGGTTCATATAGTTTTAAACCCCAGAGTTTCCTCTCCAACTCATCGACTCTCCATATATTGCGGAACGATACTTCCCATGCAAGTGAGTAATAACTGAAACATGCTGTCAACGGATGTTACAAGACATACCTTAGTATGCGGTTTAATATTGTGTTCATATGTATTTTACAGGCCATACGATTTACGTTTTATATTAAATACTGATTTATCCTGTCCAGTTCATTCCCTGAGGTATACTGACGAAAACGCGTCAGAAACATTAAACAAAAAGGGCTACAACCACTATAAGTTTTCCTTTATGCTACTCAAACATCTTTTTTAGGAAAATGTGTATTTTTCGGACTTCTATTTCTTATGCAAAACAAAACCAAAACACCAAGGAAGCACACATCACACTCTCACTCCACGGTATAATCACAGCTGTCCTTGGCTGCCACTGGCCAGGCGCGGATCCACACCGGTTTCCACCATTTTACGGAAATCGGTCAGATTTTTCATAAAGAAAAAACATTCCAAGTTGCAAAGCTTCATCCAAGGTAAATGGAACTGGCTAATATCCTGTCTGAATGACTCAGAAACCCAGTATTTATCCTAGATTGCCCCCTGGACCTGTTGAGCCAAACACAACAAGTCTTTGGATGGATTTGTTTTCTTTAGACTCAGTTATTTCGATTATAGTGACTTGAAATTGTTTGCCACTTTCATATTTGAGGTCGATTTTAGATAGATAGTTTAGATAGTTTATTAAAATATCGAACATGGCAGTCCGTAGACTGAATTGCGTTACAATTACTTAAAATTAAGATTAAATAAATTCCAAAAATATAAATACTAATTGAAATTATAACAAAAAACATTTCTATAAAAATGCGAAAAACTCTCTATATATAACTAGGTACAAACTGGTCCAAAAAATTATGAACACATACTTGGAATAAAAGTGTTCTTAAAACGATTTGTATGTGTGCGGGGCATGGCATAAGCCCTGGACTGTCTTAGATTATGTCTGTGTTCTCTCTTAGGAGGTAAGACAGGCACAAGTTTGTGATCCGGGCATGACGTGATAGACTCGAAAAGCTTGCTACACAGGGCCACGCGTCTAGCGTGCAAGGTTACTAAATCGAACCTGACCAAACATTCTG